GTGAGCAGACAGCATAGATGTCATGCAAATAAGCTGAGATTTCACCAAATTTGAACTAAAATGGACAACATGAGTACATTCCGCACAGCGGTTGTGAAGACAGGAATTAGACCCTCAGTGAGAACTCCAAGCTTTGGCCTTGCCTTCATGGAGCCATCCACCCTGTAGTTCTGTTTGAATGGAAACTTCTCCGTGTCTGTCTCAGTTCCTGGTTTTGTAACAGCTGGATTTCTCCATTTCTTGTGTGCATCTCCCTCCTCCACCTCCAGGACTGCACATCAGTCCTAATCACAGGGCACCTGGCAGGGAAGGATGAGTTTTCAACTCACTAGGTCCAATGAGATAGATGCACAGAAGAAGCTGGTATAGACTTGGATATGGCACATTGGACATGAGCAAAGAACACAGGTAATTGCTCTCTTAGGCGATCCCAGAGGGTTGAAGGCGGTCAGGAAATATTTTAGGGAAGAAACTAGGAGTGAGCTGAGTCTTAGACAATGGGATGGGTATGAAGGAGGAGGGTGTGAGAGAGGGGGAAGGGGTGTTTCCTGTCAAAGTGTTCCGATGAACCCCTACATGCTCCTCGGCCACCAACACCTCCTGGTTGACCACTTTGGTGTCTAGTGGTCTCTGCTGTGTTGTCCTGCCCCTGGCTCCCACTCAATGACATGGGCTAGCTTTGGCCAGTCTTCAACCAGGGGTGTCCAACCTTTTGGCGTCTCTGCGCCACACTGGAAGAAGAAGAGTTGTCTTGGGCCACACGTTAAACACATTGTGACGTGTAACCACACACACACACACAAATCTCATAATGTTTTAAGTAAATTTACAATTTTGTGTTGGGCCGAATTCATAAACATTCTGGGCTGCATGTGGCCAGTGGGCCGCAGGTTGGACACCCTTGCTAGGGTTTATCATGCCATGACTATGTTACTCTTCTTTATCATTATCATCGTGTCCCCACTGTCCATTTTTAAATGAACACCCTGCACATGAATGCCTGTGGTGACACCTAGGATATAGTAAGTGCTCAATAAACACTTGTTAAAAGAGTGTGTAACCCTAGGAGCCACTCTCCATAATCCTGGGATGGCCCTCTCCCCAACATTTACTCTCTGCCATAGGGCTGGGGACATTGAAAACATGAGTACTGGAGGATTTTCCCTAAGTTCTGCATGGTTGATAAGCTGCTTTTTCATATTTTTATTTAACAAAGATTTATTGCATGCCTCACTTATTATAGGACTTATGCTGGCTACAGGAAGTTTAGAGTTGAGCTACTGTGAGACCCATGTAAACAAATAATGATAAATAACAAGTTAAGGGCTGACTTAGGTACAAAGTGGTCTGTGAACATTGTAGATGAAGAATTTGCTTGTTGTAGTGTGCTGAGAAGAGGCTTCCCGGAGTCCAAGCTGGCAATGAACCCTGAAAGATAAGGTGCGTCCTCTAGACACACATGATAACTAGATGGAGAAGTGAGTAAGGGAGTCGGGTGGGAAGTATTCCAGACGAATAGAATAACAGGTGCATGGTAGTGGGGGAGGGGGCCCAAGAAAGTGTGCCCGGTTTGGGGAATCAGGGCAAAACACAAGAGCAGAAGAGTGGCCATAAAGAAGATGAAGGACTGGATTTGGGGCAGGCTAGCCAGAGAGCTCTGTGGATGTCAATTTCCAAGAGCTACTAAAATAAAAAATATAAATCCAACTAACACAGCCAGTAGGATCTCCTTGCATAACTTTTAAAACCTAAATTGGTCCTATTCCCTTGAGGTTAAGACAGTGCCCTTCAAAAATTCTCCTGGCTGTCATTTGCAATTATGTTATACTCAACATAATTCAGTGCTTGTAATACATGTCTCATTTTTAACATAAAGAGGTTTGTAATTCTTATTAATAGAAAATCAAGTTCCTTTCAATCCCAAGTTGAACAGATATTTAAAGAAAATTGACCTATTTATGCATTACCAAATTCCTACCCTCCTGAAAATGTGCAGATGTCTCCTTCTAACCAGAATGTTTACCAGGAACCCTCTCCCAGGTAAAAATGGGACTGTTCCATCTGGCTGGGTAAGCTGAAAACGCTGGTTTCTGTGTGTCCCCAGGAGGAGCAACATTCAATGAAGTACTGTCAGTTTTGTGTGCGTCGCCCCAGATAATCTCTTTAGTAGGGTTTTGTTTGTTTGATGTCTTAAAGGCAAACCTGATTATCTCTGCCTTAGAGCCACCACATTCCCCTGCAGACCTGCAAACACCGAAGACTTCTATGTCCTCTCTGGAGGGTTTTTACACATCCACTGTTTGTTGGACAGGTCTCTAAATCTGGTGTTCATAAATACAGCTTCTCTATGATGGCGGCGTCCTGCACGAAGTGTAAACTTAATTTTTTTTAAGGTTTTATTTTTTTAGAGAGAAGGTAAGGGAGGGAGAGAGGGAGATAAATATCAATCGTTTGCCTCTTGTTGGAACCAGGCACCCGGCCCCTGATTGAACTGGTGACCCTTTGCTTCTCTCGATGATACCTAACCAACTAAGCCACAGCGGTGAGGGGCCTGTGTAAACTTTAAGTCCCTGTACTTTTCAGCCAGGGACAGTACTTTTCACCTTTGTACTGGGCTCTCACTAAGTCTTCAGCGAGATCCCGCCCAGACTCAGGGTACAGGACAATGAGAGAAGGGTCACAGTGCAAAGGTCAAAAGGCAGTTGGTTGAACAAGTGTGCAAAAAAGCCTGAGAAGAGGTCACTGGACCTCGGTTACCCTGGCGACTTCAGCCAGAGAGCCAAGATTTGTGGAGACCCGCCAGAGGCCGCTTTCTATCCCCCGCCCTCCTTGATTTACCTCCGCCTCTGTCTCCCTAGTGGTAGAAAGCGGACGTCGACATAGACGCCGACGCGGTTCCTATGGATACGACTTCCCAAGAGGCCTAGGATGTTGTGGTCCTCTTAGCCAATCAGAGAGGCGAACCCGCCTCACAGTGGGCCAATAGACTGCGAGGCCAGGGCCCGCGACGGTTAAACGGGGCTGGCCCTGGGGCTGCGAGCCTTGTGACTTAGAGGGGTCTCCGTGTCGTGGGTGCAGCTCTGCGGTTGCGGCGCGATCTGCGGAGCGATCAGTAGGAGTCCTGCGGCGGGCCCTGCCATGCCGACGCGGGTGGAAGACTACGAGGTGCTGCACACCATCGGCACGGGCTCCTACGGCCGCTGCCAGAAGATCCGGAGGAAGAGCGACGGCAAGGTGAGCGCGGGCACCTTCCCTGTCCCCGCCCCTGCTGCGGTTTCCCCAGCCAATGGCGGCGATCTGTGACACAGTACGGGGTCTTTCCAGGGATGAGATACTGCGTCCTCTGGTGTATGTACGTTTCTGTATTTTTCGCTTTCTCTTCCATTTCCTTCCTCTTCCTGCTTTGACATACTAAGAGCCCTCCATTGGTGCCAGGTAGGTGACTCCAGAGCTATTTTTATTTGTATTCATTTATTTTTGAAATCAAAACATTTTCATTTATTGATGAGAGAGAGAAACCTCGATTTGTTCCACTTATGCATTCATTGGTTGCTTCTTGTACGTGCCCTGACCTAGATCAAACCTGCAACCTTGGTGTACCGGGAGGACACTCCAACCAACCAACTGAGCGACCCACCAGGGTTCCCGAGCTATTTTTAAAGAGTAGAACTCTGGGACAGGAGAAAGGGCAGGATCACAAGAAGAACCTGGGACTTTATGTCTTGCAGTCAGTGCTTATTTAAGATACCCTTTACTCTGATCATTGGCTTCATATTTCCCCTGTGCGGCGGTAGACTTTATTCAGAAAGACACAACGGAGAGGAAACTGCCCGTCTGATGGTGGAGGGATCTTGGCTCGGTTCTTTCACCCGGAAGAGCTTGGCTGTTTGGAATGGTCAGGGACTTGGACTGCCTCACTCCCACCTTTGACCAAAGAACCATAGCCAACCTCCCCCAAAGCAGAGGGAGGCCTAAGGTGCCTCATCTCCCTCTCTCCCATCATGTTATTTCCTGCTTAAAAATTAGAGGACGATTATGGAAATAAACTTAGGGGTCCTTAAGTTCACTGCACTAAATTAGATGATAAATGACTGTGTGATCTCTTTAATAGAGAAGTAATTTCCTACAATTTTACATTCTGGAGCTTGCATTCTTTGTTTTTGACTATAATGAATCCAGTCATGTCGTGGACATTAATATTTCAGATACTAGTTTGGAAAGAACTTGACTATGGCTCCATGACAGAAGCTGAGAAACAAATGCTGGTTTCTGAAGTGAATTTGCTTCGTGAACTGAAACATCCAAACATCGTCCGTTACTATGACCGAATCATTGACCGAACCAACACAACGCTGTACATTGTGATGGAATATTGTGAGGGAGGGGACCTGGCTAGTGTAATTACAAAGGGAACCAAGGAGCGGTAAGTTAATTTAAAAAAATTTTTTTTTAAGATTTTATTTATTTATTTTTAGAGAGAGGGAAAGGGAGGGAGAAAGAGAGGGAGAGAAAATCGATGTGCAAGAGAAACATCAATCAGTTACCTCTCTTATGCCCTCAACCTGGTACCTGACCCTCAACCCAGGCATATGCCCTGACCAAGAATCAGCCTGACCTCTTTTTTGGTCTGTGGGTCAATTCCCATCCCACTGAGCTACACCAGCCAGGGCAGGTAAGTTAATTTTTTAAATGTAAGCTGAAAATGGGCCTGGTTTTGCTTTTGTTAAGCATCCTGTTTTGGCGTCAGGGTCAAAGTACTTAGCAATGTGGAAGAGTGTTCTTGTATTTGGTGGGTCCACAGAACTTTAGGAAATGCCTTGTGAATCAACACCCGTATTTCACATCAAAATACGATACCTCCCTATTTGTACACTTGAAAACTAGGTAGGTAATTCATTGCCCCAGCTGTGCCATGGTTTGGTTCCAAAATCCCATGGGTATAACTGCTTTGGTTTCAGACAGTACTTAGATGAGGAGTTTGTTCTTCGAGTGATGACTCAGTTGACTCTAGCCCTGAAGGAATGTCACAGACGAAGTGATGGCGGTCACACCGTGCTACATCGGGATCTGAAACCAGCCAACGTTTTCCTGGATGGCAAGCAAAACGTTAAGCTTGGAGACTTTGGGCTAGCTAGAATATTAAACCACGATACGAGTTTTGCAAAAACATTTGTTGGCACACCTTATTACATGTCTCCTGTAAGTATTCTGGGATTGAGTTACTCTTTAAACCTTTGAACACTAAGCACTCAGATGCAGGGAAAGTGAGGTTTTTGTGTTCAGTAATATCCAATAGCCATGAATTAATAATACTTTCATTTTAAATTTACGTTTTTTCCAAATGGACCGCCAGACCATTAAACTCCTCTAGGTCAGCAATTCGAGTCAGGCTTTGATTGAATGACTGCCCTGTGCTAAATTCTGGGATTACAGAGATGGAATAGGCTTTGTCTCTGGCCTCAAGAGCTGTGCTCCCTAAGGTGCCATAGGTCCTGTGAACCAGCTTGGACTCACTTGGGGTATCTGTTCAAAATGCAGAGTCCTGGGCCCCAAGCCCCAATCTGGCGAATTCAGATCTCTGAGCCGGTCCTTGCGCTCTGTTTTCCTTCTACTTTTCAGTTTGGATGCTGCGTTTCAACAGACTCTCTAGAGAGGATTCTTCTGCATGGAGATTCAGGGCTCAGAAGGTCACTCACTTCAGATGACATATTTTTACAGTGTGAACTTTTTGTATTCTTTCTTTGTTGTTGCCTTTTCCTACAAGGCAGCTGCGGAGTCATCTACCTTTCTATTTCCTCTATGGCTGAATAATATTTTGTTCCCCAAATTCTAAAGAACACTGCGATGCATATGAATTTTTCTTTTCTTTTTGGTTATTTCCTTGGCAGCTAGATCTCAAAACGAAACTGCTGGGCCAAAGGGCATGAACTATTTATGGCTCTCTAGATATGGCCTGAGGATGGCTTTGAGGAGTTTGAATCAATAAGTGATGATGCCAGCGGGTTGCATATGAAATCCGAGCAAATGAAGGTGGAAAGGGATTGTTTGTTTTTAGTACTTTGCAAACACTTCCAGGCTTTTCTGATCGTCTTTAGTTCTGTTAGTCGATCTGACTACAGCATACAACTTTCTGTTAATGATTTTGTTTTTCTCTCAGACTAGACATGGCCAGAGCAGTGTCGTTTTCTCCCTGGATCGAATTCCAAAGGGAACACCTCTAACACAAAGGAAACTGTCCCAGGAGGGGTTCTGGGAAAATGTGAAACCTGCACAATTCTTTGTTCCTCTTCCTACCCTTGTAATTAGATCTGCTCAGCCTCCCCTAAGGTACCAGGAAAGGGTGTCAGACTCACCTATTGGACTAGAATACTAAGGCGCCTCCTGAAGATTTTGGTCCTTTCCTCTCTGCCCTCTGTTGAGAGTAAGAGCTTTGGCTGGCTGCTGTTACTGCAAGTGTAGAAGAAAGGCAAACAATTAAAATAGGAAATGAGAATATTAGGTAGTATAGTTTATACAGTAGACTAAGGGAAAAATACAAATGAATAGTTCAATTAGCCATTTGTGTTTACATCCATTTAAATTTAAATGGGCTAGATGTATGTATTGGTTATTCTGGAATTTTCCCTTGTCCTTTTAAAAAGGGGTTTGTAGATTACAAATGTCAGGAGGGTAGAGGCCTCTCGTATTCACCTTTGAGTTGTCAGTGCCTCACCCACAGTGACAGCGCACGTTTGTGATGGAAGAATAAGTGACAAAGTATATAAGGATGGGGTCATTCTCTTTTTCCATTATAAATTTGAAAATAAAGTATAAAATATATGTTTTAAGACAAAATAATCTTTTAATTCCTCCTATTTTCTTCCTTCTCCCCTCAAAGGAACAGATGAGTCGCATGTCCTACAATGAGAAATCAGACATCTGGTCACTAGGCTGTTTGCTGTATGAACTGTGTGCACTAATGTGAGTGTAATGGAGACAGTTCCGGGTGAGGTTTAGATGCAGAGGTTTGTCGCCCTTCACTGACTTCTGTTGTTTGACCATCCATGCATATTCAAGCCCGAAATAATTATACCTTAGGTTTCAGTGAATGTACGTGGACTGGCAAAAAAATTATTAATAATATAATCTCTGAGGCTGGATCTGGAGTTGTCCGAGTTTCTAACCCGGTCAGATGCTTCCTTGTCCGACTGACACTCAGCTCCAGGGGAGAGCAATAGGTCAGGCTGTGGGAGAGATGGAACGGAGACCTGGAAACTAAGAGAGCCTCCAGTTTTCTCTCTCTTCATTTTCTCCCTCCTAAGCCATTCCGTAGAACAGTGATTCTCAACCAGGGAGCATGAAGTGATTCTTGCCCTGCGTGGGGCATATAACAATGTCTGAAGATATTTTTTGATATTACAACCAGGGAGAGCTGCTGGCATCTGCGCAGGGAGGCCAGCGATGCTGAAAAGCATAGTGATGCTAAGATGCACAGGACAGCTCCCTGAACAAGGAATTTCATGGCCCCAGATGTCGGTAGGGCCCAGATCGGGAAATTTAGCTGTAAAAGAAACGCCCCTGACGTGGAAACATAAACACAACCTAGAGCTTAAATTGTGCTCTCGATTTGTTTCCTAAATGTATTTTCATTTGCACATTATTTTTTTTTTTTTCTTCCAGGCCTCCATTTACAGCTTTCAACCAGAAAGAATTAGCTGGGAAGATCCGAGAAGGCAAATTCAGGCGAATTCCGTATCGTTACTCTGATGAATTGAATGACATTATTACAAGGATGTTAAATTTAAAGGTAAGGATTATAAGATTATTTTGTCTGTTTCTGTCTCTCAGTTAAGTTTTGGAGTATGTGTTCTCTGCCGTAGAGCAATGAGACTGAAGAAACATTAAATACATTTCCTTAGGTAGATCTACTTCATTAACACAAGTGAAAACATACAAATTTGGCGACCCACGCGTCCTTGCTGGCCTCCCCTCTGTGCCGTCTTTGTCTTCTCCCACTCGCTGCTGTGCTAACAGATGTTGGGAGCAAGAGAATACTGCCCAAAGCGTCCAGATCCTCGGTTCCCCTTTTCCCTCCCTACCTCAGTGGGCAGATGGTCCAGAAGGGACCACAAATGAGACTATTATTCTGCCTCTAGCTGCAATTGAGAGATTAGAGGCCAAAGATAGGGGTGTGTGTGGAGGGAGGGGGGAGGGGTGGCTAAAAAGAGTAGGGGGAAATAGTTCTGAGAGATTATGGAGGCAGAACCTGGCCGTGGGGCTGTGAGGAGACATGTAAGCGATCAGGATGATGTGAAAGTTAAATGCTGCAGGACTGCAGAGAAGGGCACCGGTGAGGGGATGGGATTAGGGCTGTGAGCGTATCCTGCTCACTGCAGTTTAGAGAGGCTCTAAATGGACCCTAGCAATGTTACTGAGCACCCACATGGGGATGGAAACTTGTAGGTCACAGGTGGCAAGCACGAGGCCCTCGGGCCAAACCCAGCCTCCGTATTTCTTGTTTTATCTGGCCCTGCACCTTATTTCTACCTGGCGGCAGCTCTGAGCTCCTTGCCCCTAGTGAAGGAGCAGTTACATTTACACGGTCCTAAAATTACATTTGGCCCTTTGAAGGCAACCGAGAGGTTGATGTGGCCTCTGGTGAAAATGAGTTTGACACCCCCGTTCAAAGGTAAGTAAAAACCTGCATTACCACTTGGACCCAGAATCCTACAGTTAAAGCCACCAGTGAACTTATCTTCCAGGTGTAAACGAGTCCTTTCTTTTGCCCTGGAAACATATGCCCTTTTAACGTGACCGCTCTTTTAGGATGAGTGTTCTGTTACGAAATCTGACTGTGACACTGAGTATCTTCTCCCCAGGATTACCATCGACCTTCTGTTGACGAGATTCTGGAGAGCCCTTTGATAGCAGACTTGGTTGCAGAAGAGCAGAGAAGAAATCCGGAGAGAAGGGGGCGACGACTGGGAGAACCCGAAAAGCTGCAGGAGTCCAGCCCCGTGTTCAGTGAGCTGAAACTGAAGGAAGCGCAGCTGCAGGAGCGCGAGCGAGCCCTCAAGGCGAGAGAGGAGCGGCTGGAGCGTAAGTCCGACCAAGGGGCGGAGCGAAGGGCAGCCGCAGGGTGGCTGTGACCTGTGCGAAGTCTGTTGGAGTGACTGACTGTTAGAACATTCTCACAAATACTCAAGAAGCCAAAATATGTTGTGTAGACTCTGACATCACACTTTCTGGTGTCTTCCCATTGCACTGACCCTTTGTCTGAAACCAGCCACTCTCACTGCATTGCTGGGCTCATCCCTGTGGGGCCCTGACATAGTAGTGGCTGTACCTTACTGTAGACTTTGTGTACGTTAATGTATACATTCGACTTTGATGTAGCCATTATACTTTACTGTTGTTACTTTTCTTTCTGTTTCTTAATGGATCTACCCTACAGCTTTTTCATGGTGAGGGCAGATCTCAGAATTTGCTGCCTTCTATAATAACCATTACTTCTACCTTCTGATATGGCTGATCTCCCACAGTCCAGGTCTAAAACCCCACAGTGTATAGAGGGCTGAATATACTCAGGCAATTCAGTAATGTGGACACAAGATATTCCAGGTTCATAAATATCTGATGGCTATTAACTGATGAGGTGCTAACTAGTTTTCGATGTTGAAAGTATATCTGTCTAAGGTGACCGCTGCTGCCAGGTTTTAGAATTTCCCGAGGTAGCACAGCAGCGAGGGGCTGTCCCCTGCTCCCCTCAGGGTTCACCTGATTTCGCTTTTGCAGCTTTAAGCCCCGGGCAGACTTTGCAGTTTTTTTCTGTTTACACGTTACCACAAAGCATCCAATGCGTTCAGTGATGGTTTACGTCCTTCTGATAATGGTGCTGTGCTGTGACAGATGCTGTCTATGGAGTTACCACGGGGGCTTACCCAGAAACCTTTCTGGGCTCTTCTGTCAAAAGAATTCTGTAAAAAAAACAAAAGCAAAAACATGGAGACAAAAACTTTTTATTGAGATTTCCTCTAATGTTTATAATTCCGTTTAGCGACCGAGATCTGAACTTTCTGAATTGTGGGCCCTGAGTAAATAATAACAGCCTGGGTCAGTGATGTAGAGAAGTGCCTCTAGTTGAGCTGTGGTTTTTGCCGCACTCTCTGGTCGCTGCCCTTCACCCAGAAGAAGGAGGGATTGTGCTGTGAGGCCGGGTAATGCCCCCAAAACCGGAAAGTGACCTGTGGCTCATTTTCAGTGAAGAGCATTCGCGTTTTCTTCTCCCAAGGGAGCTCCTCCCACACAACCTGACCAAGGGCTGAGCTAACTTTGTATGTGTACTCACACCTGTCCTTATGAAAACACCTTAGTCAACTCACAGCGAACGGGACCACTGCGCCACAAGCCAGCGCAGCCAGAGCGACCTGGGCGTGCAGCAAGAACCCGTTCACAAAGCCTCACCTCCCGGGCCAGGCGGGCTTAGTGATTAGGAAAAATGGCAAGGGTACCAAATGGAGATGGTTTTGTACCCAGAGCCAGCTGTTAACTGTTTCTTTCTGGTTCCATTCCCTTTCTACAGAGAAGGAACGTGAGCTTTGTGTCCGCGAGAGGCTGGCGGAGGACAAAGTGGCGAGAGCAGAGAGCCTGCTGAAGAACTACCGCCTGCTGCAGGGGGGGAAGCCGCTCTCTCTGGCGGGTGGGCCAGGTATGAGAATCGGCTCCCAGACGGGCTGCCGCCGCTGAGGAGAGGGCGCCAGTGTGGCCTGCAGGGGCTGTGGTGGCCCTCGTACAGGACAAAGTGTCAGTGTTAAGATGGAGTGAATTGAGTGAGCAGGGTCCAGCAGGAGTAACGCCTACTCGAGTGTGGTTGGTAGGGCAATAATATGGGTGTAATGATTTATAGGTTTAATTTGAACATTTCACCTAAAATGTCATGTGGTGTGCTTGAATTGCATGCTTACGCTTTTAGAGTAAATCAGGGGCGTTATTTGTGCCGGACCCTGTGTGCATGGGATGGAAAGAGCATAGTCACAGCAGTGGTTCACTTACTGGGCTCATGGGCCTGAAGCTATGAGTCCTGATGATTTCATCTTCAAATTTATTTACCTTATCAAACGATGTGTTTATTAGTATTTAATGTTTACTGTTTAAAATTAGGGCATTTTTAAAAAAATGCTGTTGTGCATTTTAGATTTTTCTCTGGGTATATTATGAAAAGTCTACATTTCTCTCCCAGGGAAATCCTAACATTTCGGTCTTGGCGCATGCCACACCCTTCCCGGACAGTACGGCTAGTGACGTGCGATAAGCCAACTACAGAACAGGCCATCACTTTGGGATCTTCGCTAAAACCTGTTCAAATGGAAACATTATTTGTCCAAATTCCGTTGTTCAGCACCTCCCTGTGTTCAGTGTGTGTGTAGACAGGGTCTCGCCCGCGCCTCTCCAGGACCCGGTCTCGGCCAGAGCTGCCCCGCGCTCTGCCCTCGTGAGGCAGGGCTGGTGCGCATGTGTGTTGAGTGGCCGACTCGACAGGGTTCTCCATTTCACAGCAGCCCTAAAACTCATTGAATCTACTCTATGAAGAATGCAAAGCATTCCATCTTTCCTTTTGATTTCTTTATCACACAAATAATTTTGAAAATTTTTTTGTTTTCCAAATCGAGTACCTGAATCTTCCATTGAAACGTATTCAGAGCTCTAATCCTTCCTCACACCGTGCAGGGCAGCCCGTGTGAAGGCTCCTGTTTCCACCTGGAATAAACTGAGACAGAACCTGGTCGTTTCACTGGGAACGACAGCATTCTGTAAACAGAACAGGCAAAAAGTGCTTAAGTTAGTGTGAGGGTTTCAGTAACTTCATAGTGAGAAGTGATGGGACTCAAACTCGCAATAAAAGTGAATGAAACAAAGATCATATAAAGCTTGGGCTTCATCTCTGTTGGAAATTTTTCTTTCCTTTTTCTCAATATTGCTATCTACCATTCCAGTATTTTTCAAGTATTTATTTCAGCTTTTCTTAGATTCCACACTGCCATCCATAAAGACAGAGTAGACTTAAATCATGACTACAGCGATAGAGGGAGGAGAAATTTTTATCTGGATGGGTTTCATGCCTGAGACCTATTGCTGGGAATTACTGAAGGCCCCGCTGGGGGCGGCTCTCCCAGTGGAAGACTTTGTTTACATCTTGCTTTGAGAATCTAGGAGCGAAGGATGAAGGCACTAGAGAGGGACCCTGTACATAGTTGGGTATAGGACCTACCTGTCTGCAAATCACAGCAGATACTTCAGATGAACCACAGGAATGGGATGGAGTATCCACCAGGACTTGGAGACATTGTGACGTACTGAGCGCAGAAAGTACTGAGTGTCTGGGGCCCTAACGGGCAACAGCAGTGGGAGTGCGCGCCGCTGTGCAGTCAGAACGGCTGGCATCTCTCTCCGTCCTTGGGCTGTAAAATTCAGACTAGAAGAAAGCATCCTAACTGTAGTAAGGTCCTCCCAGTAAGCAGCAGCATCTGCTCTTTTACAGCTTTTGTTCGTCTATTTCATGAAATACGAGTGTTTTTCTTCTACTTAATGAAATACTGATTCTTTTCCTAAACACTTTCCATACTTATAGAATTATCCTATTAGGGATAAAGATAGGTTCCAGATTTCAAATGCGAACTGAAAGAGTGAATATTATTGATAATTATGATAAACACGGAGGACTTATTATTCAAATAATTCAAATCCCTTTTCTTTTTCTTCCCAAAGCACTTTTCGATCTTCCATCTTCAACAATTAAGAAGAAAGTCCATTTCGGTGGAGAGAGTAAGGAGAATGTCAGGAGGGATGAGAGTTCTGAGAGTCAGCTCACCTCCAAAGCCAAATGCAAAGACCTGAAAAAGAGGCTTCACGCTGCCCAGCTGCGCGCACAAGCCTTGTCAGACATCGAAAAAAACTACCAGCTGAAGAGCAGGCAGATTCTGGGCATGCGCTAGCCCAGCGAGCGACCCAGAGCTTAATACTGTGTGGTGCTTAATATTGCCAACCCCTTCGAGACTGATACTCAACTGCTGTAGCTTGATACACCCGGGTTCCATGAGCCATGCCTTTCTGTACAGGAAGCATGCTATTTTGGAATTGCCTTTGCTGTTCTTCAGCGATAACTGTACAAAATGTTCATATCTTTATTTTATTTTATTTTTAAAAGGACCACTTTATAGAAAGAATGACACTTTCTTGGTCAGGCTTTTAATCCCGTGCGTGATTACTACTGGAACACAAGATACTATGTTCTAAATGCTGGAGAAAATAATGCCAGGAAAAAGGTCTTTCCCCAGGAGTAGCACTCACTGAGAAGCTTTAAACGACTGAGCCGTGTACTTGCAATGGTCATGTCTGGATTTAAAATTTAAAGTCTGAGGTCTCAAATATTGTAGAGCTTAGAAAACCTAAGTGGATTCGAACTGGACACTAAATGCAATCACATCTTGCTTATAGATGTCGCTGATCGATATCCCATTGCTCTGGAGTGCAAATCTCACCTTTTATGAAAATCCGTCTCCGTGATGTCTGTGTTCTTTTTTTCCCCCTTTTTATTCTATGTATGAGCTGGCTGTCATTTCCTCATCTCTCTCTCACTAAATAAAAGAACTCTTTAGTTTTCCTATATTAGTGTCTCTTGCATTTTGACCTCTCAGTTGCAAAAATGCAAAAAGCACATTTAGCGCATGTGCATAACCACGGGAATTATATAATCCACACTCTGGCTCATCGGGGTGGGTGCCTCAAACTGTCCAAAAGAGACAGACACCCCCAGATCCCCATGATAGGTGCCTGGGACCCTGACTCGTGCTTACATGGGTCCCTGTTGCTCCGGCCACCCCACCTACACACTGCCAGGCTGGAGCAGCTGAGCCGGGCATCTCCCTTTCCCTCGGGTCCACCTTCCCTGCCCACGGCAAACAGGTCACCCACGA